CTGGCTAGTTTTTCTATTTTTAGTAGAGACAGAGTCTCACTCTAGCTTAGGCTGGTCTTTAACTCCTGAAGCTCAAGAAATCTACCCACTTTGGCTTCCCAGAGTTCTGGGATTATAGACATGAGCCACTACGCCCAGTTAAGATAAAATCACTTTAAAGATAAAGGGTTTTGGGTTTGGGTGGTGAACGCAGTTCCAGGCATTCCCAGGCAGAAGCTGGGTGTACTGACTCCAGAGAGGCCAAGGTCAGGGTACTTTAAGGTCAGCAGGGTTGGCTATGGGGTACTGGCTTGAGCTTCCCACTTGGCCACAGAAGAAAGTTCCAAGACAGACATAAAGTGAGCAAGAGCCTCATCCATGTGGAGGGCTCTAGCCTGCTCTGCCAATCTCCTACACTGATCAGTGAAACACTGACAGATAACACAGCCTTTGTCAGCTGCCACCCCAGCAACTATCACCTTCTCTTTTCTGCTGATAGAGCCTGGATTCTGCTCTGGCAGCCATTTCTCTTGCGTATCGTTTGAGTAAATCCTGACAGTTTAAGATAGTCATGGGGGGGCACTATGACCTTGCCAGGGGTTGGCTCAGAGATGGGCAGGTAACACAGTGCCTTCCCTCTTACAAACGAAAGTCATTCTCTGTCTGCAGGGCACTGGTTCTATCTGGGGCGATGGCAGCCATCAAGGGATCACTGGTGGAAACAGGTCCCTGAGGACATCCCTGGGCTGCAGCCCCAAAGCTGTCCTAGACCCAGACTTATTACTGTGCTCACTTTCATGCCTTCTCAAGTTAGGTTTTCTGTCACTTGCAGTCCAATGCCTCCTACCTGATGTACCACTCTTTATGGAGCTGGCAGAGGAAAACAAAAAGAAAAAAGAAAGCCTAATGAACAAGCGTCTGGGGCCCAGTCCTGCCCTGCGGACTTGTTGAACCTGTCACACGTTTCTGTCCTAACACTGTGCTTAGCTTGGTGGTTCCTTCACCTCGTACAGAAAGGTGGCAAACTCCTAAGGATAAGGACAGCACCCACCAGCCTCTGTACCCAGCCACCAGCACAGGCTCTTTGCTGCGCAGTAACTGTAACAGCTGTCACAGAGCATTTACTATGTCCCGGGCACAGTTTTGAGTGCTCTAAAGGGTCTTCCTCCTCAAATATTCAGGATGCTGCTCCGAGATAGTTCCCTGAGCAGACAGAGGTACAGAGAGGTGAAGCCCCTTGCCTACGCTCAGCTGATGAGGGATTGGGCCTGGTTTTTAAGTCTTTTCTTTTTCTTTCTTTCTTTTGAGATAGAGTCTCAAGTTGTAGCCCTGGATAGAGTGCTGTGGTGTCACAGCTCACAACAATCTCAAAGTCTTGGGCTTAAGGGATTCTCTTGCCTCAGCTTCTCAAGTAGCTAGGACTTCAGGCACCTGCCACATCACCTGGCTGTTTTTTTGGTTGTTGTTGTTGTTGCAGTTGTCATTGTTGTTTTAGCTGGCCCGGGCTGGGTTGGAACCTGCCAGCCTTAGTGTATGTGGCCAGCGCCCTACCCACTGAGCTATGGGCACCGCCCTTGTTTTTAAGTCGTAACAGCCTCTCAGTAAATCTAAGATGGGCCATGAGACAAGCTCTGCCTACAAGGGCCTTAACGCTCCTAAAACCTGGATGAATTCAGCAAGCAGCAGGCCTGCTGGAGAAGATAGCTGGAGACAGGGCTCCTGAGGGGTACAAACATCCCTGACTGAGTGGGAATGTCTAGCTTGGGTATTATGGGACAAATGTGCAGCAGGAAAATGGGAAAGGAACAGAGACCACTTGAGTAACCCTGGCCAGGCCTTTTACTGCAGGATGGTGACTGAGTGTGAGAGACACTCCTGGGAGGTTAGGGCTTAAGGTGTGCTGGGAACATTTCACAAAGTTTGGAACCCCATTGCTCTAGAGATGGAAATTGCTGAGATGTGGGCTACAGAGGGCAGGGCTAGGCTCCATCTGATTGTAGCAAGAGAAGGGTAGTGGGGAAAGAGCTAGAGTACCAGGAAAAAGGAAGGGATATTTTCTATTTGCTAATGCCACTGAGCGTAAAACACAAAGCCACAGCCATCAGATTATTACACTGCGGCTGGGGGTGCTGGAGGGGACCATGTGCATCACCTTGATTTGGAGGATGAGTTTGGAGTCTTTTAGGCACGAGGATAGCTCTGGACTCAGGCTGGTCTTCCACAATCATAGGACTGGGTTCCTGTCCTGACTTTCTTATTTCTTGGCAGAGTGACCTTAGCCAAGTGATTCACCTTTAGTTTCCTCTCTGTAAAATGGGGCTAATTAAATCAGATACCTCGTGGAACTACTGGCAGAACTCACTGAGGTCAAGCATATTGATTCACAGAATAGACTAGAGAACCCAGAAATAGTCTCACACAAATGTGCCCAGTTAATGTGCTCCCTATTTTTGCCTTACGGGGCAAAAGCAAGGCTATGGAGGAATAGCCTTTTCAATAGATGGTGCTGGACGACAGCAGACATCTATAGAGAGGTATCTACTACAAAAAAGGGAATGTAACCATTTTAAACCTCTCACATTATATAAAAATTAACTTAAAATAATTAACTTAAATAGCCAGGCATTGTGGTGGGTGCCTGTAGTCCCAGCTGAGGCTGAGGCAAGAGAATCACCTAAGCTAAGGAGTTGGAGGTTGCTGTGAGCTGTGATGCCACAGCACTCTACTGAGGGTGGTAAAGTGAGACTCTGTCTCAAAAAAATAAAAATAAAAATAAAAAAATAAATAAATGTAAAATGGTAAAACTTCTAGAAAAACGTGAGAAAATCTTCAGGACTTGGGACGAGGTGGAATTGTTAGACAACACCAAAAATATGATCCATAAAAGGAAAAAAATGTTAATTTGAACCTCATTGAAATGAAAATTTTTTGTTCTGTGAAAGATCCTGTAAAGAAGATGAAAAGACAACTAAGGACCCGGAGGAAATATTTGCAATTCACACGTCTGACAAAGGACTTGTATTCAGAACATACAAAGAACTCTCAAACACTGAAAAACACCGAATCCAATTAAAAAATGGGCAAAAGACATGCACAGATATGTCAATGAAGAGGCTATACAGCTGGCAAATAAGCCATGAAAAAATGCTTGACATCATTAGCTGCTCAAGAAATGGGAATTAAAGCCACAATGAAATAGCACTGCATACCTATCAGAATGGTTAACATGAAAAATGGTGACACCACCAAATGGCGGTGAGGATTTGGAGTCCTGGATCATTCATACGTTGCTGGTAGGAATGTAAAATGGTACAGACACGTTAGAATACAATTTGGCAGTTCCTTTTCAAACTAAAAATGGGCTTACCATACGGTAAGCAATTGTACTCTTGGGCATTTGTCCCAGAGAAATGAAAATTTATTTTCATGCAGAAACTTGTACGCCTGAATGTACGTATTCATAGCATGAATTATCCATAATGACCAAAACTCAGAATCTACCCAAATGTCCTTCAACAGCATGTGGCTGAACTGTGGTACAGCTGCCATGGAAGACAACTCAAAACAAGAAGGACTTCACTATAGAGACTCACAATGACTTGGATGAATCTCAAGGATATTATGGTGAGTGCAAAAGACAATTACAAAAGGATATGTGCTGTTTATTCCTTATACAGAACATTCATAAAATAACCTTAATTAAAGAGATGCAGGCTGGGCGTGGTGGCTCATGCCTGTAATCCTGGTATTCTGGGAGGAACCTCCTGAGACGGAAAGATTGCTCGTGGCCAGGAGCAAGAGTGAGACCCCAAATCTACAAAAATAGAAAAATTAGCCAGGTGTTGTGGTGCATGCCTGTAGTCCCAGTTACTGGGAGGCTAAGGGAGGAGGGTCACTTGATCCCAGGAGTTGGTGGTTGTAGCAAGCTAACATGATGCCACAGCACTCTAGCCAAGAAAACAGAGGGAAGGAGGGAGAAGGGAGGATGGAAGGAAGGAGTGGGTTGGGGAGAGGAGGAGAAAGGGAAAGGGAGAGGGGGCAGGACAGAGGGAAGCGGGGAGGAATAGGGGAGAGGGACAGGAGAAGGGACAGAGAGAAGAGTGAGAGGGAAGGAGGAAAGGGGGAGGGAGGAAAAGAAGGAAGGGAAGAAAGGAAGGAAAGGGAAGGAATAGATGCAGAAGAGATTAATGGTTGCCAGGGGTTAGGAATGGGGGTAGAGGATGGGTGTGGCTATAGAGGGGTAGGATGAGGAGTCTTGGTGACAGTCACACATGAGTATACGTGATAAAAACTGCACAGAGCCACACGCACACACCAATGAGCATGTGAGATTGGTGAGTTCTGAATAGGCTCTAAGGCTCGCACCAATGCCCACTCGCTTTGCTACTGTACTACATCATGTATACAGATGTTAACAACGGAGAAGCTGGGTGAAGGGGTCATGGGACCGTCCTATACATTTCTTTTCAATTTCCTGTGAATGCATATATTTCAAAATAAAAAATTAAGAAAACATAATAAAGGGGGGAGGGACAAAAAACATAATAAAGGGGGAAAACCTTGTTCCCAACAGCTCTCAGTAACATCTTCCCCACCCCCTTTGTTACTGGTCAATCACTCCGGGCCAACTGCCATTTCCGGCTTCAGTCCTTGCTGCCCCACAAGGCCCCATGCACCATATCCTGCTCACACCACATTCCTCTCTGGTCCTCCTGAGTTCCACACCATCCTGCTTACTTGTGTCTGTGGCTTCTGCGCTGTCTGGAATAACCTTCTGCTTCCTCTCTGCAGCAAACTCCTACTTATCTCTCAAATCTCTACTTAAATGTCACCTCTGCCAGGCGGCCAGCCCAGACCTTCAGGGCTGGGTTGTGTTCCCTCCCCTGCTCACCACAGTGTGCCTGGTTTCTAGGATCCTCTCTCCACCCCAGTCATCAAGCATTAATAATAGGACTCCCTAGCAACTGAGTGTCTCAAATATTCCTCCTAGCCCTGGCACACAGAAAGCTTCTGGGACCCTCTGCTGAATGAAAGCTGAATGGTGGCCATTAGAAGATGAGACAGGCTCGGCACCTATAGCTCAACCGGCTAAGGCGCCAGCCACGTACACCTAAGGTGGCGGGTTCAAATCCCCAGCCCGGACCCGCCAAACAA